ACGCCTAGCCGGCTAGGAGCAAAGCTCCAAGAGTAATAGATGCAAATCCAACCGGCTTGACAAAGAAATCAAGTGCTCAAGCTTGCCAAAGTGATTCTCTCACTCAATCCACTCTCCTTTCACTCAAAACCCTAGGGGAATCAAAGATTGGAGCAAAGGGGAGAGAAGAGGGGTGTCTTGAATGCTTGGGAGCTATTGTGGATGAAGGTTGGTGAGCAATGAATGAGTGGGTGATGGTTAGAAGAGAGAGAGAGCTATTTATACTCATAGGCAAATCCAACCATTTAGATCTGCGTCGGAAGTTTTGACATGGATCGTCGGGACTTTCGCCTCTTCTACAAAACATTGTTCACTAGCGCAGACCAAAGGGCTGGCTCGGCGAGTCAGAACTCCCGGCGGTTGTCGGGACTTTCGGCTACCAAAAGTCCACAAACTACATCTAAGTGTTCGTGATGTGATTTTGTGTCTCTCTTTTGATTTTATTTTTATGCTTGAGCACTCTATCTTCCTCAGAGCACCTAAACTTGCATCCCTCTTTATAGTATGGCGGAACCTAAACTCAAAACAAAAGATAAAAAGTTGAAGAGCGCTTTGAGTTTGTTTGCCTTTTTAACTTCAAGAATTGAGGGATACCATTTCATCTTAGAAAGACTCTTTAAAACTTTCATGGGACTAAAACTGCAATATATCTCAATAAGATCTCATTAGTCCCTAATTTGGATGTCATCAATACACCAAAACCCATATAGAAGGCAAATGCACTTTCAATGTGTCATAAGTTTGTTTATTTCTTCCATTTTGGACATTAATGGGCGGTCGGATTTGATCGATAGTGACCACCAACAAATCCCCCAAGCTTAACCTTTGCTCGTCCCGAGCAAATAGCTAAGTACTTGGTTGTTGATCAGGAGTTGCTACTATGCCAAATATATTTCATAAGTGCCATGCCAATCACAAAGTATTCCTCCGCAATCCAAATAAGTTGGCATTTTTATCCACCCTTTATCTTGATCCCTGTGGGGCGTGTAGCTTTTCCAAGTTCTTGGGCGGTTGCAAGAAAGAATGGTTTTAACAGAATCACCAATCATTCATTCCTTGATCAACCATCTATCCGGATGTTTTATGAGTTTTGTAAAACAAATGTAAGTTCCTCAAATGATTCTCTCGATTGCTCAATGTGTATGAAACATCACCAAGGCATTTGGTATTTTACCATCTTTTTCATATCCTACCACTAATGGCTTTTGAGTGGAGTTTTGGGTAGGTATGAAAGTGGGGCATACTTGCATCACATATTTTGTTAAGTCAAAAGCCAGACATCAAGGAGATGCAAGTCATACACTTTAATCAAGACGTGCAAGTGTGGAATTTTTATAAAGTTCCTATTTCTAAAATATTTTTGGTACTCCTTTGAATCATGAATCTCTCTTTTTTGGATGAATGCCTTTTATTTGAAGGTATGCGCTATCTTTATTTCTTTCTTTCTTTTTCTTTTCTTTTCTTCATGCTCTTTGGCATGCATTTTTTCTCATGCCTTTTGACATGGATATTTTTTTCTTTTTCTGTTTTTTTAGCATAGGCCATACATTTCTTTTTGGCACATGAAATTTTTGAGAGAGAGACTCATGATAAAGTGAATGGAGTAATTATTTAGTGGACGGAAAGACATGTTTTTGCGTAACTCTCAGTGTAAGAGTCAGCAGTTTATTTGTGGGTGTACGTGTGTCTTGATTATGGTGCATGACGAGAATCTCAACAAGGGTCACAATAATGTGATAAATCTCAATGCTCAAACAAGTAGCAAATGACTAAGGTTTTAAATTTGAATCATGTCATATGGCCATGGTAGTTATTCATAATCATTGATGAACTTTTGAATTTTAGCATTTTTTTAAATAAAATCTCCGGATGTCAAGTTTCACTTAGAACAAAGTCATAGTAAATTCTATTTGTACCATATCATTAGTCGCAACAATTTAGAAAAGGAGCATGCATTTACAACCCACAAGTTTTCAAGTTTTTAGGATGAGACATTTTTAGCCAACAAACTTAAATCTTGGGGAATGCTAAGTTACAGCCTAAGCACAGATGAATTATAGACAGAGCAACTATTTATCATTTCAACATAGGAGAAACTAAACATTCATAAAACACATATGAGAGCGGAATTAATCTTTTTGGTGTTTTTATCATATTTTATTTTTGGGTATTTTTAATTTTTAGATTTTTTTTTAAATGCTAATAAATAAATAAATGTAGAAAATAAAATGCGAAGATTAAAAATAAGAAAAAGATACAAGGTACCTCTGCGGGGGTTCTCCCAAGCTAGCTTAAGGCCTATGGTCCGAGATGTGCTTGGTGATGAATCCAAGGTACATTATTTTATTTTATTATATATTTTTATATGGTTTTTTTATTCCACCCATGTCTATACTCAGCAGTTTTAGTTCAATGATCAAACTAGTTTTTAATTTGATCAAGGTAGGCTAGTCAACCTAAACACCATGTTTATTTTAAAAAGCCTATAAAAGTATGATTGTACACTAACCATACTTCAAATCAAAGCATACTTGTATAGAACAGGATTTATTCAAGTGAAGATAATTTGAAAAGAATAAACTAATTATAAAAATAGATTATTATTTTTTAGCATGATTTTTTTACATTATAATTATCTAAGTTTAGCACTTTTATTTAATAGGTTGTAAATAGAAAGGATAACTACCGATTTACCTTCAGCAAGGGCTCATTGTTCAAAGTCCAATGAGCAGGACTCTTCTCCTTTCATTTCTTGTCCATGCCTGGAGAAGTAGGTTGTACCTCTTTCACCTGTCATACCTGCTTAACACTTTTTCGTGGTTGTGTTCTTGGGTTGTTTGTTTTTAGTGTATTTATGCATATCAAATCCATTGAATGGACATCTCATCGTTTGTCCATGAATGTGAAAGCTAACATGCCCTGACCCCACATGTAAAACTGCATTTGTAGTGTTAAGAAATGGTCTCCCTAAGAGGAGGGGAACTTCCTTGTTGTGGCCCATGTCTAGAACGACGAAGTCCGTAGGGATGTATGTGTCGCGAATTTTCACCAGGATATCCTTGGCTAATCCCTTCGGTTTTTGTGAAGATTGATCTGCCATCTATAGTCAAAAGTGTGCAATGGACAAAGGTCCACCCAAAATCTTATCATATATTATCTTGGACATGACATTGATGCTTGCTCCAAGGTCGCAGAAGGATTATGGAAGACATGCGGGCCAATTGAGCATGTGATTATCGGACGCCTAGGATCTTCTTTCTTGGCGATGAAGGGTGGATCTAGAAGATAATCGTGGTTTTCCTGACATAGAGGCTTACCGAACCTCGCTGAGACCATTTTAACAGATTCGAGAGCAGCAACAATTAGAGCTATTTGAGTTTCTATGATTTTATTGAAGCTCAATTGACTTTTAACAGCGGAAGATAAATCTTCTATTTTTGTATTTTTGTTTTCAAGCATTTTATCATTAAACATTAACTTTTTAGTGATATTTTCATTCATTTTTGTTTGACCTAAAACTAGGCCTTTCATGGAAGGTTGATTCGAATTGTAATTTGAGTTAAAGTTCAAATTACCTCCTTGCGGGTAGGACTAATTGTTCCACCCGTTATCGTTACCTTGTCGGAACCCGTTGTTGATATATGTTGTGTCTTCACGGGTCTCGGGGTAGTTATTCCCCAAATGTCCAACATCACCACAGACTTCGCAAGTCATTTGTGAGTCCGCGGCCTGAACGGTGGCCTTCATAGCTTCCTTCTCATGGGTCCTTTCATTCAGTCTTGATAGTAACAAATCTATTTTTGTGGCAAGCATATCCGCCTCCTTCACGGTATGCATGCCTTTTTGTTGTTTTCATTCCTCCCCCCAGCTCTGATTGTCCACATATTCTCGATGAGAGCCATAGCTCCATCAATGTTCAGGGCAAGGAACGCTCCTCCAGCAGCAGCATCCATGTGCCCCTTCGACATGGGCGTGAGCCCCTCGGAAAAGTTCTAGAGCATGAGCTAGTTTCCATCCTGTGGTTGTTGACAGTAGTTAACAACCAATTTCAACTGTCAATTAAACATGTATAAGGGCATAAATATAATCACACTACTAACTTCTGACCCTTATGCCACGCTTTTTTGTCGCAACGTCAAGATTTGGTTGCAACAGGGGTGTTATTGCAACCATTAGCACTTTTGGTTGCGATAGATGGGATTTTGGCCATGCAAATTGTTTCGTGGTAGTAAGTATGGAGATCGTTGCGAAAAGTAAGTGTTATCGCAACCAATTATAGAACGGTTGCAATAAGTGATCACTGTTGCCATGATTTGATTTGCGTTGCGGGCAGTTTTATTGGCATTGCAAAACTAAGATGATATTGCAACTGTTTAGTTGATGGTTATGATAGCCCGTCTATGTTGCAACAAATATGTTTTGTTGTATGTAATAGTCACTCGCGTTGCAAAAAAGTTATACATATAGCAACGAAAAAATAAATCGTTGCTATCACTAAGGTTTAGAGAACAACGCTTATAGGAATTTTTAAAAAAAAGAGATGTAACCAGGTTTTGAACCTGAGACTTTTGAGACTAAAGTTAAGCTACTAACCACTACACCATAATAGTATTTTTGTCATAAGTAGCCACAGAACCTTATACAAATTTTAATATCATGTCTATGTTTCGTTGTATGTAATAGTCTCTTTCGTTGCAAAATGGTTGTACATATTGCAACAAAAAATTACATCATTGCAATACCTAAGGTTCTCGACCACAATGGTTAAGTAAAAAAATTAAAAAAATGCTACTCACAGGTTTTGAACTTGAGACCTAAGAGTCCTGAAGCTAGGTACATACTGTTACACCATATATTTGTTTGTGTGTTTATTAGCCACAGGAACCTATATAAATTAATGTAGACCCATTGAGGTATTGAAAGAGGATCTAATTATTCTGTACCTACGTAGATGCACTCGATCAATTTCCCAGGCGGCGTCGCGGGCTCGCGACCGGCCCTGCAGCCAACGTGGTGGCAGCCCTCCCTACAGCCAGCAGCGTTGTCGCGGCCTCCCTGCAGCCGGCGTCGTCGTGGCCCTTGAATTCCCTACAGCCGGCGTCGTGGTGCCCTAGTTCCTTTCTGCTCATCCACAAGATAAAGAGAGGGAGCACCAGCCAGTGCACCATCCTTCCTCGGCACACGAGAAGGGAGTGTCTAGCCAGTGCCACCACGCACCCTCCATCATCGACCAAAAGAGACGATCAGCGGCTGGCCGGCCATCATCGACGAGAAAAAGAGGATCTCGTATAGTCATATGCATGCACTATTGCAAGATCTTTCATCGTTGCCTTTTCCCTATCTCCAATATAGTTTATAATGTCGTGATCCCTTTCGATTAACGCGCTGCAGGAAAGTAGATCTTCTGACATTTGGAAGATAGAATCAGTGGCACATGATGATGATCGGAGTTGGCAAGCAGTACTCGAGAACTTTATTGATACTACTTTTGAAGCCACCTATGCATCAGAAACTGCACCGTGTCCATGTTCAAGGTGTCATGGAGTCATGTACAAAACAAAATCATAATATATTTCCCTGTTACTTGTTCAAGCCAGATCATATATTTATTTGATATTTTTGCAGACATGTTTTCAGGAAACATTGAACCTGTAATAATTGAAGAGGCCTGAGTCCCTCTCAACATTTTGAGTGTTTCTTTGTGTGCATTTAAAAACTCATGCGGGCTGCTAGTGCACAACAGGTCTCCACGTCCATGTTCAAAGAATATTATTATATATGAACATATAAAATCTTCAAAAACACAAACTTACAACATCAGTACTGTTTCATTACTTGAAAACATCTGACGGCACATAATCAACACAGTAATTATATGGCGCAGAAAAGGATCGAAATGAGGGGAGGATTTGCTCTTTGCACTTGATGCATCCGACAAAGAGTCATCTTCCTCGTCACTGTCATCAGGAACCTTCAATAAAACAAATGCAGTTATGACTGAACATATCACTTAGAAACAATAAAACAGAGTAGTGAACCTTCAGATATGTGGTGTTGGATTCATTAAGAAACAGCAGGGAAATAATTTGATAGATTCATGCACAAACAATTATAAGTTTGACATTTTCAATTTTAAAAGAGCTACTATCCATCAAAAGTACAAACTGAATTTATTTTCCTGTTACTTGTTCAAGCCAGATCATATATCAACATTGCACGAAAGAATGCTCTTACTAACATAGTTGGATGCAGGTAAGATAAATTCAGTATAAATTCAGGTAAGATAAATTCAGTATACACTAAATAGTTGGCTGACGTGCTGAATTGCTATTCAACACGCTGGTAGCTAATAAATTATGTTTGTAGCAAAAAAAAAACATCTGCTACAATTAGGAGAAACTTAAAACACTAAAAATTTGAAAATTTATAACAAAAATTATTTAGATGATAGTCCAGCAAGTAGCTCAATCATGAAAAAATTTGGAGTAAAATCCATTCATAACATTGACTTCTCTTGACTTGTCTAGTTCTCCTAAAACTATGCTTGTAGCAAATAAACATCATCTGCTATGATTATGAGAAACTTAAATGTCGGGGTTAGCATCAATTTTCCTGTAAAAAACCCATCCATTGGATAAATTCAACTGATGAGCCTGTCAACTACAATATCAGTATCCTTACTCTAGTATTTAGCTTAGACCTGTGACTTTTGATGTTTTTCTCAAAATATCATGATTCAGTAACAGAGATTAAGGGCAGGGCAGACCCAGTGCCGGAGGCTCCCACATGAGTGGGCTCTTGGGAAGGGAAAAACCGAGGCAAGCCTTCCCCCCGCAAAATCTACGGAGAGGCTGCTTCGAACCCGCGACCTGGTGACTCAGTGAGACAGCTCTCACCACTGCACCAGACCTGCCCTTCTAGTAACATAGATTAAGCAATTCAAAATTAATCTTACTAATTATTGATCTAGTTAAGCATGTGAAACAAATTGTCAAGGTCACTAGATCAAAAGCATGCAAGAGCTACTGCTAACACCAGCCAACAAGTGCAAAGAAATTAATCTTAAGCCTAGGAGACCACTATAAGCTAGCTGGAAGCAAAAGCTAATTTACTATCACACCTTTCTACCGAAAAGTACAGTATGAAAATCTGCATTAATCAAGGTGAAAAGTACTTAGCTATTGTGCTGCTGCACTGCACGACCTTTAAGTACTGTCCATGTTGAACAAACAGTAAATTGTGGTTGCATCCTACCACTAGTAAATCTAGGAACGCTAATTGACTGGGAATACCAGGTATTCCCATGATGTGCAAGCATCGAAGGGCCATAGGACCTGCTACTGTGCTTAGAGTGCAGAATGTAGATCAGCCCCCACTCTAGAGTCCTAGACATGGCCCTGCCTTTGACTGCAATTTCTTAACATAGAGCTGAGATCAAATCAGTTGCTTGCCTATGGATTCTGCCTATGGATTGATAGCACGGGCAATTCCTCTAGGAATCTATCACATATAGGCATTTCATCGACCAACTAGGGTGCATGATCTTTGACATGCCTCTGTACTAACAAAGAGGTGTCTCTCTGGACTAAAACCATGCCTAAGATTTAAGACTGAAATCCTAACTCTGAATGGGATTCAAATATCACACAACGCGCCAAAGGAGGCAAATTGTTCTTGCCTTCTTTTTCGACGAGGTGGACGGCGCCCGTTTGCCCCCCTTCGCACTGGAGAACGAGCCTTTTTTTGGCCTCCGCTGGACGCTGCCCATTTGCCGGCCTTCGCGCCTGTCACGGGAGCCTTTTTTCGCCGGTGTTATCACCTCCCCTTTGCCGCGCTTTCTTCCAGTCTCCAGAGCCTCCAATGCCAACCGCATTGCGGCCGGATTGACATCGTCGTCGGAGTCGAAGTCGGAGAGGACGTACAGCTCGGGCGCGGGGGGCAAACTGGCCGCGCGAGTTGCGCGCTTGGGTCCTGGCGTTGTGGCCATGCTTGCCGCTTGACTTGGTCGATGAATCCGCCGCCACCTCCGTCGCCACCGTGTGGATTCACTCCGCGGTCGCTGCCGTTGCCCGTGGGGAGTCATGGGGCGGGGAATATGCGGAGTCACAGGTGGGGAATAGGGGAGGGTACGGGGGAGAAGGAAGGGGCCGGTGGGGGCCGTAGGGTTTTGGCGAAACGAAGTGGACCGGCCCATTAACGGGTTCGGGTTGGTTGTTGCCCAATGTTTTACATTGGTACCACATCATCATCTATGTAGAGGTATGAAAAATACAGCTTAAAACCGGAAAAGACTGAGCTTGATTGAACTCCTTATAACATAGACCATTCCAAATACACTGCATGGCCATTGTACCCTTTGCCAGACACATAGTGCAAGCTTTTTTAGTGCTTTTTGTACATTTTTTGTTTGCCTTTTAAAAAATTGAACATTCCAAGTGCATTTAAAAATTTTCAAAACCAATTTATATCCGTTTCAAATTATAATTCGTTTGACTTTTTTAACCCCAAGTTTGACTACTCATCTTATTCAAAAATTTGTGCAAAATATCATTTTTTTGTTGTGGCTTGCTTTATTAACAAAAGTTCTTCAAGAATGACTTAAATTTGATTATGTTTGCACAAATTTTTTAAATAAGACGAGTGGTCAAACTTATGGTAAAAAAAGTCAAACGAATTATAATTTAGAACGGAGGGAGTACATGTATTTTTAAATTCATAATGGTCCGTTCGCTTCGCTGAAAAAATAAGCCGAAACAATGTTCCTGCTGATTTATTGTGAGAGAAAAACACTGTTCCGGCTGAAAAAACAAGCTGAAAAGTATAGATTATAAGACAAGCGAACATGGCCAATATAGATTTGTGACCCTATTTATAGTTTTGATGTGGATGGTCTTTCTACTACATGCATCAGTAGTGGAGCTTAGTGAGGGCCATAGTGGAATATGCCCCCCTTAGCTAGAAAAATCCTTAATAAAAGTCACCTTTTTATGAAGTGGTGATGAAAAACTAGTCTACCACTACTACTGCTACCACAACACACACCACTACTTCTACGACAACGACTACTGTTGTTGCTGCTGCTACTACCTAAGCCACGTGTTGTTTATGTCAGAACATTCCTATTGTGAAATGTTGGTTGTGTCTAAATTGAGAAACAAAAGCAACTTAGATACCTTTTTATTGCTTTACAAGTAATATGCTTTAGCTCTCCTCTACATCCTATTGGGATCACGAGCTTTGAGGTAGTATTGTTAAAGTCAAGATGTCTGACCCCAGTAAACATGGACGCCTCAATTAAGCCTTTTTTAATATATTCTCTTTTTAGCGAAGGGTTGACTGAAAGGTTAAGCTATTTGGTTGTACCAACGGAAACACAAACGTAATTGAAATAAAGCTGCGGACATTACCGGTGGGAGATAGATTTGAATTAATTCCATTTACATTTGTGTTATTGTAGAAGGAACCAAACAGCCCATAAGTTTGTTTAAATAACCAACATTGTGCTTGTAAATAATGTGTTCACGTGAGCTTGATAGCTTTATGTATGTATACTGTAACACCTCGGATGTTAGCCTTGCATAACTTGACTTGCATAACATGAGCATGATCATCAAGCATTCATAAACAAGCATTTACCATTGAAACATTGGATTGAAACATCTGCAACGTTTGCTTGTTATCGCATGTTTCTTAAACATATGCAACTTTTCTTGTTATTTCATGTCTCCATGTATCTATGCATATGATCATGAGTGTACACATGTACTTGGTGGATGTGAGTCACACAAACATGTAGCAACACCTAGGTTAGCAAATAGGACTTAGTTCATGGTCACCTTTCATGAACCAACACTTAAGCTTCATGTGATTACACTAGCTAGCCCTATGAGTGACTACTACATGAAATGATTGAATGACCTTGCAAATGACTTGAACATGTTTATAGTATCATTATGAACAACTTTGATATTCATGGTTAGGGGTAATTAGGTCATTAAGCCATGCTTTGATTTGTATCATCATTTAAAAGTGACATGTTTGACCAAATTTGAACTAGGTGTTAGAGACCTTGCATGGAGGAGATCACTAAAGCAAAGTTGTAGTATTTGACATAAGGAACAACTTTTATTTTTGGGTCATCGACTGATTTAGCTCCTAACATGCTTGAATTTGGATCACAAGAATCAGTAAAATCAACATTTCAACACTTAACAAATTTTCTTAAGTCTTGGTTAGCTGACAGACTGACAGCCGATATTTGGGGTGATTTTACTCCGTTTCTGTTGCGAATTAGAACGAGTCCTTTGAACAAGATTTGTAGCTGGTACTTCGGGCTTCAACTTTGGTTTAGGAAGTTTTGGCTAGAAGTCCATGGATTAGGAGTTTGATCGACGTGAAAACGCGCTGTCAGGCTCGGCTTCGTGGTAGACTGACGAACTGAACCAGTGCTCGGTGGCCGACCGGCGCCAGAACACGAACGCCGCGTGGACGCGATGAAGGCCGCGCGTCACCGCTGCTCTGATCCGCCGGGCAGCGCCAGGCCTGAGCAAGCCATTATCACCTCGCGTGCGCCCGCTCCATTTCCACTCACTCCCGCCAGCTCTCTCCCTCTCCAGCGCCCTCCCTTGCTCTCGCCACGAAACCAGGCAACGCCGCCGAGCACAGCACCGCCTCCGCCGTCGCCTCGCGTGCGCTACACCGCATCACCGCCATCTCCATCTCGCCAGTCGTTGCGCCTCATCCACCTCCACCGCCTTGACGTGTTGGTTGCTTCAGCTACGCCTTGGTGAGGGCGTATTTCCTTTTTCCCCTCTCGCCGGAACCTCGTCCGCCATAGCCACCTCCACGGAAAGCTCGCCACAGCTCGTCCTCGCTGCTCCTCCGCTACCGCAACAGCTCCACCGCCACCCCAACAACCCACCGCGTCCACCAGTGTTCACTCACCGTGCTCGGTAAGCGCCAGCACCGTGCAGCACCTCGCTGGAGCTCCGGCGCTAGCCCCGTCTCCGTGGCCATGTCGTCACCGTCCACCCCAGGCCGTGATAGGGCGTTAGCTAGGTCCGCCGTAGCTCGGTGATGCTCGGCGTAGCATTCGATCGAGTTGTCGTAGCCTCCACCGGCGCCTCGCCATCGTCCAGCGCCACCGCTCCGCCATGGCCGCCGCCGTCGTCACTGGCGTCGACTATAGGGCCGGCCAAGTGGTGCGATAGATGCGCTAGGTCGAGTAGGTCACTGGGTGATGATGTCACCGCCGGCAACCTCGCCATCGGCGAGCTTTGGCCGCGCCACCGTCTCACAGCGCCGCTGCTCTGTTCGTGTCTCACTGGCATGTGGGGTCCCCTGACCAGCGGGTCCCACCGGTCAGCGACTCCATGTGTTAAAGCTAGTTCATTTTGAATGCAGATTTCATATGTTTTGTGAATTTTAGATCTTCAGTTTGGTAGCTTCAAAAATTGTGAAATAAATTTGTTAGTGTTCCTTAGGAAGTGTAGTATTTAGGAAAAATATGTTCTTAACTTTTGCAGTAGAAATTTTTGGAGATTTAAATAGAAATTTGAAATGTGCTTTTGAATGCATACAAATTTGTTTATTTTATATCTAGAGTTCCTGTGCTCCAAAATTATGAAATTTTTATGGTAAGCTATTCTTGTCATGTATGAACTCTGGTAAAAATTTGAAGATCAGTGCATGTGTAGATTTGTAGTTATAGATTTTTCTTTTATAATTAGGAGATCCTTGTGTGAATTTTTATAAATTATTTAGGAATCCAGTATTCATGAAATTTGTTGGAGGTAATCCTAGTAGTATTTGGATGCTAAGAAAAATAGGAAATCTATTGCTTGACACTTTTCAATAGGGTTTTCTATTTATGCTATTTCAAGCCTTACTGCCTTGTCATTTTTGTATATGATGTTTTACTTGGCAAAATGGCATGAAATTTTTACAGTAGTCTATTGGTAGCACTAGTAAGCCACTGTAATTTTCTGAGAATTTATGATGCACATTTGGTATAGGTTTATTATTTAACCTATGGGTTCAAATAAAATAATAAAGGCATTTAAATAAATAGTTTGGGCTTCACCATTATGTTTTCTTGGATGTATTTGGTATGCTGAAACTGTTGGTAGACTTTTGGTCATAAAGATTTGAATACTTATATGAAGTAGAAGTATTGTTACTTTATAATGCGAATTGGAATAGTTTCCGGACATATTCTGGAGTTTGCTAAGTTGCATGATAGAGATGATGTTTGCTGTAAAAATGGTTAATAACAAAGTTGTAGATAATTTGATAAGCTTTCCAGAAAGTCCAGGATCACTGCATTTGGATTAGTAGAACTCCTGTTATGAGTAAAACAAGTAGCTGCTGTTTTGTGATATAGTAGATGCATCGTGGAAGTAGTAATTAAATAATCGAGAAGAGATATGCACCTACTCAATAAACATGATGCACTTGATAACATATATGCATTCATAATACTTATGCCATATTCATGCATCTAGGGTCGGAGGAAGAAATAACGTTGCTGGAATTTGAAGAAGCAAAGGAAGGGGACCAGCAGGAGAATCCGCAAGCCGCAGCTCCCGAAGGCGTGGAGCAGAATCCTGAAGAGCTTCCGGAGTGTCCTGATCACCGCCCTACTTCCTTTCTGCGAGGCAAGCCCCGGAGCATTCTAAGTCTCCCAGTATTTTACAAATAATTACTTAAGTACTTATGATTGATGCATTAGGTTATAAGAGTTGAATGGAACCACTTGATACATATACATTTCTTGTCCAGCTATTACACCTTTAACCGGTATAGGTCTAGGATCGAATATATGCTTAGCCATGCTTAGACCGGTAGAAGTCGGGTGATTTCCTGTCACCTGCGAGATATAAGTGGATACCGGAGCACGGTTGGTTATAATTGCTATCGTGGAAAAGAACCATGGTTAATGTAAATGGAGACCGGGCGGGATGTCGATAGAGAAGCAACAAGACATGG